GGCAAGCCTACCAAACCTGGGGCTCTATTCAGTCTGGAGGTGTTACTCGACGACGTGTATACTCATTCTACTCCGCTATGCCTACCACAAAGCCCAAGCTGGAGAAACTCTCCACGCCTGTAACGGCGACATTCCCCTCAGAAATTACATCTGCAACCACGGCTACTCCTCTTTCGGCTTTGAACTTTATGTCTAAGCCAGAGCCGGATTTTATTAAGACGCCCATTAGTCCACCATCGGCTTACACAGACTTCTTGTCGAAAGCAATGGCTTTGAACTCACCGTCACTCACGCCCGGAGATTCTAGCCCCGATTCTACCAAGAGCAATCCAGAGACAGAAAGAGCAAATCGTTCTTCGAAAACCGAACGATCCTCGCCTACCTCTACTGTTAGCAGCAAGCCATCTCCTCCTACAACAGCACCCGTCGTGCCTCCAAGTCCATTCCCAACCTCAGCCCCAATGTCTGCTCCGCCAACTGGTCCAGCTTCATTCCCAAGTTTGAAACTGCCACCAAGCCCTGCCATCTCCAATATCGACTCACCATTGAGCGCAAGCACCCTTCGTTCACCTTTCAGCGCGAGGTCTGTTCATTCTGTCTTCGACTGGGATGCCGCATTGAAGGCTCGGCGTCCGGAGAAGAAGCAAAATTCTTCCCGCACAAGCGTTCGACATATCCGGGAAGTTGTTACTAGAACTGTCACTTACACACCGCGCATGGATCCTGCCCCTAGAGGCAAGAGACGGAAGGTGGAATGAAAGCCCGCAGATAGCCAAGGCAATTACTACGATAACAACGGGAAATCCGATTAACGACGACAACTATGACAACAACCTGGCATATGGCTCCGGGAATCAAATAACGATGCAATCGAATCGGGCGCTGGCGGCCCCTTGGGACACATGGTGAACTCCCTTTTCTAGTCGCCATTTCCTCTATATTATTATTTTCATGGGCCAAGGAAACGGCTGTCTTGTTTGACACTTCCGCGCGAGAGAAAAAACAATATTGGACGTCTGTGCGCGTAGGTACGACACTAATACTCTGAACAAGCTGAATCCATGGCTGAAGGGTTATTTTTATCTATCCCATGGGCAGCACATGGGCTCAAATTACAAAGGGGCTCTCATCAAATTCCGGTTATTATTATTATTATTTCTACTCTCTCTCTTTCTCTCTCTCTTTGCATTTTTTACGCTGGACGGGAGGAGAGCCAATAAAGGATGTGTCTGGGATATTTTGGCATATGCGGGAGGCTTTCTTTCGATTGGGAGTTTGTGGCGTTTCTACAGAGTTGAGCCTTGGCTTAGGATCTTTATGACCTTGCACAGGTAACATCGGAATACGTTCGATACCACAGCGTGGAAAGGATGGTTGGAAGTGGGCCAGGCGAAGGGCAATGGGGAGGGGGGAAGGCAGACAGGCGCATAGAGTGGCGCAAAGATGATATAGGGCAATATACGGCTAAAATGATTGTAATGTCCCTTCGCAGTCATTGTGCATAGTCAGGCTCAAAAAATCAGCTGTGATGAGTGAAGATAACGAGGCGTCACCTGCATGTCGAGCCACGGGTGGAGATGATAGCGGTAACCAGCATTCACGGCGTGCAGCCGAGGGAACATCAGAACCGGCCATGGACATTGTTTATTTATTACGGAGCAGAGGTTTACGCAGTCTGCGTATGTACCGGGCCGCCAAACCAGGTCTGCGTAACCTGGGACATTGCGGGAAGGCCGCATTGTGAACGGCCGAGCCGGATGTACATACAGGCCAAGACACGACTAATAGAAACGACGTGGCGGTTGACATTGCTTACCTAGTTGCCAGCGCCGATAGTCGTACAGCCTACTTTGCAGTTAAATGAGGGTCCTGATCCTGCCCAGATGTCCTATCTCGGCCGGGGATAAAAGAGAGTATTTTGCCGCTCTACGGGCGGGGGAGGGGGATTCACGTCGAGGCCTGTCCGAGGAGATTGCAAAATACCCATGCAGGTTTCACTGTACGGACCTCTGCCGGGTCATTGTTATTGTCCAGTTTCTATTTTGAACAGTCCGGCGATTCGCGCTTCTCGTCTTGCTCTGTCTGTCTCGACGGTAGGACTGGGTCGACAAAGGGCCGCATATTGGGTCGCCATAGTGGACAGCGGCAGCAGCCATGCGAGGATGGGCTACGCGTGCTGCCTGCGGCAGTTCAGTCCGTCCCGGCTGACCGCAAGACAATGGAACACGTCAAGTACGGCTTCCTGGCCAGTTGTTCTTCTTCTCGACCTTCTGTACGGAGCCAGCGGCGGGCGTATCAGATGGCCGCCGCGTCTGCATTAGGCCGCGGTTGTTCTTTGCATTACACGGGGGGTTTTTAGCTGTGCGCGTTGACGGCAAGCTCATGGCCCGCGACTTTTCCCCCCCGCGTGTGTTCTCCTCCGTTGGCCTTTGTCCCGTTTTGCCTTTCCGGCAAGCAGGCGGCTTCACATCCTCGGGAGTTGTTCTCTTTTTTTCCCCCCCTTCCCGTCGAGGAGGTGCAAGTCCAAGTATCTATCGCGGGCATGACGCCAACATTACTGCCCCCACACCACTGCGGTTCTCGGACTCACACCCCCCCCCGCTTGTTCCTCTGCCTTCTGCCCCTCCCGGTCGTAAGTTGCCTTTTGGAGCTTTCGAGCACTTCTTGTCACCAGGTGAAGGAAGACTGGGCAGTCGAGCGCTAGCACGCCCCCCCCCCCCCCCCCCCCCTGGACGACCTGGAACTGGAACTGGAAGTTGAAGGCGTCTTTTGCCGGCGCTGAGGGAGTCTCTGTGATTGGGGAGGATCCAGGTTTCCCCCAGTCGGAGCCTGCGACTTTCTCAAAAGCTAGGCCAAGCGTGGTTTCCGCTGGGCTAGAAATAAATACGCGTGTGTGAAGGAGAATCAGAAACAAAGAAAGAAAAAAAGGAAGGACCACCATGGAGGCATGTGGGGCCTCACCATCTAAGCGCCCGGAGAGAGACGGACTGGTCTTTTGATTGGCTGTCGCCCTGGTGCCTGTCACCCACCCGATGGTGGCGGGGTTTGTGATTGGCCGGGGTCTAAGCGCCGTGATGTGGGTGGGAGCACTACACCCATGCATGCCGCGAAAATGGAAATGGGTTAAAAAGCCTGTACGTATTGGTTTTTTTTTTTTTTTTTCATATTTGTGCTGGGAGAAGTTGGCCGATGAAATTTGGGGAAGGGGGGCAATGCATATGTACATATGGCTTTGATATGAAGAGGCATAACTATTATGAAATTTTGGTCTGTTGTGAGGTGTGGATATTTCTTGAGGGGATGAGGTTTTATTTGGGCAAAAATGGCAGCACGATGCTAGTTCCCCTCACTTCGTTTATCAAGATGGAGACTTTGAGGTTGCTTCGATCTGGTGACGACATCAGCTAGTGTACGAAGTACTTGGTGGCCTTTTCTTCAAGTGCTGGAAAGAGGCGAGAGGGGTGATGAGGCGTTTTTCGGGGGCGACCTCTCTGTGAAAGTGAAATGCCGTCTTCACGCGAGGACGATTGTTGGAGGGGGTGCGACGGGCAAACTTGTCGCTCTGTAAAGGTCATGAAGGGATTTTCTTTTCCTTGGCTCGAGTGTAGCAAGCTGGTGGCTTTGCAAGGCAGTGAGACCTTTAGCGGGGGAGAAAACGCCCCCGTGATCCGAGGGAATGGTTCCATCCTGTGATGTGTGTCAGAGGCACGGCGAGGGGTTTGCACTTGGCATCGTGATTCTGATATTTGTAATTTATTTCCACGTCTCCTTGCGATTGAATCTGGCTAGTTATTTGCTATTTTTGAATAGAGACAGTTTCCTTCCTTCCCCTCACACTATAGGCGTGAGATTCACGATATCCAGTCGTCCATTCTCTTCCGTGATGCAGCCCCCGTCTTCACAAGAATGTCTCTAAGCAACCGCCATGCCTATCTCGATGCATGTCCCAGTCTATGCCGTGGTCCAAGTTCCCCGTCTGTATAAAACAAGTAACGCACAACTTAACCCACTCATACTCATCACATCAACACGCCAACCATGCCGGCAAATCTCCAAGGCCCCCTCCCCCCAGGGATAACCCTCTTCTCCGCCAGCTCACCAACGTATTTTGTCTGGTTCTTATGTATGTACATCACCCCGGGTCCCTTATCCCACACTGAGTTGAAGGACGAGTTCTCACCGGGGCTGATTCCTTAGCGGGGTGACGTGGACAGGGGTCCTTGCCTCAAGTCCTAAAGATTCGTCCGGTTTCCCAAAACCCAGGCGGCTAAGGAGAATCCCTAGAGCAGGCCTCTGAAACGGGCCATCCAGATTCTAACAACGTTTCTAAAAATGTTACACGTAACAGCTAGAAACACCATGGAACATTTTGACGTGCGTTCCTGGAAATTTAGGGACGTCGGATAGCTGATAGTTTGCTTTTTTGGGTGCCAGCATTGTGCATTACATGCTTATGAACGAAATGAAGCGAACATGGTGATGAAACGGGTCCTGGTGGTATGGTTCGTGTGGAGTTTTGCTGGCCCTGGTTGTCATTGGTTCAAGGCGACGGTTTTTCTCTATAACATGGGTTTACTCCGTCCTGCGTCTGCAACTCCGCTTCCATCTCACGAGTAACTGTTTAGGAATTGTTAATGTTGCCAGGGTGCTCAAGAGAAAGAAGAAACAAGGTTTGAGAATTGCTTAACCCACACAATAGGTCAGAGCGTCTGATACAGAAGAACGGTTGGTCTCTGCAAGGCTTGTTCTTGGCTACCATTTCGTCTCTCGGTGGATTGGCGGCAATTATCTCCACTTCCATATGGAACTGCGCCAATGTGTCTGGCTCGACTGTACAATTACAGTTTACGCACAGCCTCGGATGCAGAATCTGGCAAGGCAGAAAGCACTCTGGAGTCGTCAAATGTATGTGCTTATACACCAAGCACAAGTAGGTATAGGTCGTACAAGACATTGCCAGTCAGCTTCACAAGGTTTGTGCTCATCGCCGTCCTGTATAATCAATCCACTTCTCTCACCTCCCTAGCAATGGCATTACACAAAGCCACCGTAACACCAGCGCCAGTAAGGACATGGATCCACAACCGCTGCGTATCGCTCAGCCGGTCGTTTGCGCTCTTGACTTCTGCAAACATGACTTCGCCTCTCGGTGCTTCCGGTGTGCTTCGGGCTCCTTCAGCTGACTGGTCATTTGCCCGCCAAAGGATTAGATCTGGCACCCCTCCCCCCCGGTGCTTGTATTCCTGGGCCATGACTTTGCATATGGCTGCTAGGGCACTGCCTTCGAAGCACCGTACCAGCTGCGCCATGTCGTCCACGTCAAAGTCCCAGTTTAAACCGACGACACTGGTCCTGCGCTCGTGTTCTCTATCCCAGACTTGTCGGAGGAACCGTTCGCCCTGTCCGTTGGCTATTTCAACGAGGCGGTGGTTGATCTCCGATGCTCTGGCGGAGAAGAAGGCATCTGTGTGTAGGTCCAAGGGGCAGGTCTGGTATTCCGTTTGGAACACGTTGGGTATGTAGAGAAACAGGATATCGTAGAAGAGATATGCAAAGATGGTGCGGATAGCTCCCCCTTCTGCGTGATATCCCTTCCAGCCCTGGGAACGGAAATGACTCAAGCACATCTCTTCCACGCTGCACTCGCCTCCAGTATCCAATTCGTCCAGCCAAACGGTCTTGGTTGAAGCCTGTTGAGCGCCAGGTTTAAGACTCGGAGACCTTTTCAACTGTATTCCTTCGACATTGATTTCGATGGGTTCTGCCAGCCGGACGTGTCCAAAGTCATGCTGTAATCGGCGTGGAATTCGCAACTTCCTTTCGAGCTTGATGAGTCGTTTTTGAAGATCATAGTGATGGATCAAATGGCAGTCGGGATCTTGTAGTGCTGTTTCACAGGTTGTAGCAGCTATTCTCTTCCACTGCTTCCTTCGCTGCTCCAAATCCCCAGACCCCTCATCATCACGCACAGTGGGCATGTAGTGCTCCTCCAGCAATGCCTTGCGTTGATACCATGAGCCTCGCCGAGCCAAGTGAAACAATTTCTGGTCTAACAGTTCCTCAAGGAGTCCATGCTCACGAGCATATTCTTTCCGTCTCCCCATTACCCACATAGCCTTTACAATAATCCTAGTATACGAATGCGCAGGATTGAATCTCCTAAGGTAGGCACCCTCACCCATTTCGTACACCATCCGCTCCTTTTCTCCCTCCTCGTTAACATATTGCTTCCATCGAGGGTAGACCATTTCAAAGATATCCATGATCCGTTGCAAATCCTCTTCGTTAGGAACTCCGCTAGACTCAAGTATGTTATCCACGTCTGCCTCCAGGCGAATACCCGCTTCAAATTCCAAAAGATGTAAACGTGAAGCAAATATGGTTGAGGTCCTGCATACAATGTACTCTGGGAAATTTCGTCTCGCAATCTTGGCCAGGATTATTGTGGTAAGTGATTTCTCCGTCCACTCAGTAGATCGATAAAACACCAAGTGCACTCGTTCAAAAAGCTTGTAGGTAAGCGGCGACAAGCGAATGCATGGTCCCAAAATGGCCAACATCTTCCTCAAAAAGTGCTCGTTTCGATTTAAATTTTGCCGCTTCAGGTGTCCATTCTTGCAAGATCCGGTAGACTCCTGGTCAGAGACAGAAACGTCAGAATCGCGACTGTTCTGCCGGCTCAATCCAAGCGCCATCAGCCCAAGTTGTTGTTGACTCATTCGACATAGACCTTTCACGAGTTCCGCCTTATTCTTTCCCTGGATTTTAGCATCCTTGGCCAGTGCTCTGAGTTCATCCAAGAGCAAAAGCGATGCTGCTTCTTCAACACTGTTGATGTAGTCTTCCGAAGCATCAGCAAATGCGAAGCTTGCTCCCAAGTTGAACCTCTCAAGGTCAAATCCCGAAACCAGCTCCTCAGTGTCTTGGCTATTTTTCGTTGGCAGTTTCTGGATGGCTTGCAAGGCTGCAATAGCCTCTTCGGGCTCTGAAATGTCGGAATAGTATCCTAAACGGCTGGACCGATGCCACGCTGCGGTTTTTCTGAGAAACAGGCGAACATATCTCCCACAAAGTTAGAGTCCATGCACAGTCGTGCATATAGCAATAGAACTTACAGATACTGTGCTTCGTATGACAATACTTTCCACCTCCTGAAAACTTCCATCTCTTTCTCATCAAACAGTTCCGATTCTTCTTCCAACACTGTATCGAGGGCGAGATTAAAGGCGTCCACATATATTGAGCTGCGTCCTTTGATCCATAAAGATTTGGTATTTGCGGTAGTCCCATCATTGTCGGCCTCTTTTTGGGAAGACCTCGTCTGTTCATATTCCTCAATTGCATCGGCATCTGTCTGTGTAGGTGGCAGGACATTCTCAAATGCAGTGGCTTCATGCAGGTATGAAGTATCCGCATCTTCACTGTGGTGCGACCCCCAATTAGTCTTCTTTTGCGACTCATTTCCATGGTCAGACTCTTCAGAGTCTGGAAAGTCCGGGCCTGGGTTCTTAATTTCATCTCGCTTCACGCGCTTTGGCGCCCGCTCACCGGCACTATCACGGTGAGACGCAGACCGGCAGCTTTCATCGCTTGTGTCAGACCGGTAAAAATGTGTGACAAACGCATCCATCGGTATCAGCACAATGCAAGACGCGATAGCGTTTCCTGCGACATCGAGCGTTGTCGATCTGGCAGACGCGACGGAGTTGGAAAGTGCAAACACGAAGTCAGCTGACCGCGTTGAAACAACTTACCCAAAGACGCCTTGCCTGAGCCACTTCAGCCACCACGGGCAATCAACCAGCGCGATCGCGGTCAAACCATCCACAATCCAGTAGTTCGATCCTTACAGGCATAATTCTACGTGAAAAATCACTGGCAGCATGGCAGACGAAATATCCAAATCAGAAGCGACTCCAGAGGCTTCTCGCGCATCCCCTATGGTTGACAAGGCTCCGACCAGCAACACCGCGGTCACCACCACGGCGGGGCACCAACCGCCTTCGATCGACACACCTCAAAAAGACGTTGTCATGTCCGATGCTCCAATTGACCAGGCAGCGGTGCGTTATTCGAAGTGCAAAGCGCTCCGTTGAGCTATCACCGCTGGAACGTCGTATTCTGCTAACACGGCGATACATAGTCACCGGCTCCTGCCAACCTAGCTCCCAGCCCAGCTCCAGCACGGACAGGCACTCCAGCTCTAGGTTCTCGAGCGCCGTCTGTACACCCCGACCCTGGCTTTACTATGCCTTCAGAAGCACCTGCACATGGTGATTCCACAAGAAGATACTTGAATACGAAAGTAACTGGTGTACTACTCGAGGGTATGAAGCAGTTGGCCAAGAACCAGTAAGCAACTTGAAAAAAAAAAAAACCAAAGCAAGACATGCTCGTGTACTCTTACTGACTCAATTAGGCCAACGGACCCTCTACGATGTCTGGGCGAATACCTTATTCAGAGGTCCAAGGAATTGGAGGGCAATGGTAGCTAAGTAGTGTGGACTCGGGGTTGGGACGCATTGTTGGACAAAACCACGCATAAGCAGGCGTTTAGGGAGCCATCCTTTAGGCACGATGAAAATGATACCACGGTTTCCAATTGAACGATTCAAAAGTTGGGCAGTCAAATTGCTTTCATTTTTTAAGCTCATTCGACCATTCGTCACGGTCATCCAGACCACGGACCAAGCATCAGGGCTTCTAAATGCAGGTTGTTCCATAATTTTCCTCCCCAACTCCGGGACCAAGTGAATCCGCCTTCCACGCGCTGCAACTATATCATCCTATTTCTCCGCTTTATGCGACAATGGTGGAGGCAGTAGCAGACTCGTACTTCCAGGTAGGAGGCAGAACGCCGACGGTCTTGTAGTAACGAGCCAGACGGTGGATTCGAGACTCGATAAGAATAAGGCGGAACTTGGAGTCCTTGTCCTTGCGGTTGCGCTCGAGGTGCTTGCGAACGGCAACAGCCTAGAGGGTAGCATGTTAGCACATTTCAAACATGGTCACAGGGCCCGACGAAACGAAACCAAAATTGCAGCACATGCTCGACATACCTTCTTGATCAGCATGTACAGGTCCTCAGGAAGCTCGGGGGCAAGGCCTGTCAAAATTCACTCTGTCAGTCTTGACCGCACAGAGGCAAAACCAGAGACATGTTTCTCTTGGTAGATGTGTATTTCCTTCACCACATTCGTATCAAACGTCTTCAGGGTACCATACCGTTCGACTTCAGGATTCGCAGAATTCGGTTACCTAGCGATACTCAGTTAGTAACAAAAGACATTCCTCGTTCGCTTTTCAAGACGTACCGGTGACGATCTTGACCTGGGCAACACCGTGGGAGTCACGGAGAATGACACCAATCTGCGAAGGGGTAGCACCCTTTCTGGCAAGCTTGCAGATCTGCTCAACGACCTGCTCGGGGGTGGTCTTCAACCACGCAGGCGCGGCGCGAGAGTATGGGATCGCGGAGGCAGAAATGCCCTTTCCCTTGCTGTGAAGTCTACCCATCTTGGCTGTGTTGTCTTGCTGGTCGACAATGAAGGAATGGTCGGGGAGTTCAGTTGGCGAGGTCGCAAGTCTCGAAGTCTTGTGTGGAGCAGCAAATTTTCGCTTAGTTAGGGCAGAATGTGTGGGCAGTCGCAGGGACAGCCACAGCAGGGCAGCAGGGGCCGTTCAATCACATGCATTATCACGTGGTGCTGGTCCAGCTATCCAAGGTGGGGACCTTGGCGGCAGACTACTAATAATTTGGCAGCATGGCTTTTTTTTTCCTGATTCTTCTTCGTCCGCCTGGTGTTATCACTCCGAATTGCATACCAAGTCAATTGTCAATCTGCTGTCAATCAGCTTTTGTAATGCTTAACTGTAAGTCGTCGCATTTCTATCATGCCTACACATTTCCAAGGCGTACCTATATGATGATAAGAACACAATTGTTTCATTATTTCTGGTACCTCTTATGTTAGAGTCTTCGGACTCGATGAATGAACTGGACTTCTGATCTCTCGCCAACACCACACTTCCCACTTGTTTCATCAATTTGCACGTCAGGATAGCATTTACTAACAAGAACGAAGATTCTGCAGAGCTTAATAGTCGCTATTAGTCTAGAAACCGCGTTGCGATTTTTGCCGTAGCTGTGCTGTTATTTTTAGTCCCATTTCATATTCCCACGACTCCAATTCCGCCCAGATCTGTTACAGGTCGCATTTTAAGTCAGGCATCATCCTCATCACCTTACAAGCCTTACTGTTTTACAAAAATAGAAGAATACAGATTTTTTTTTTTTTGAAAGATTTCCATTTCCCACGTCTAGCTAGCCAACTTATGTGTCTGCCCTGGGTTGCTCGATGCACCATGAGTGATCTCACCAGGCACCCACGTCGAAATTTTCCTAAGCATTGGATTAGCTACGAATACACTGTGTAACGCGGCGGAGAAGGCTTACTTCAGGGAAGTATGTGGTAACGACGGTTCGGTCGGCAAACTTTCTGCCTGCCAATGCAGTCAATGCCTTGTGGCAAGAGTCTGGCGTGTCAAACTTGACGAATATCTTGCCGACTCCGGCAGACTGTCGGCTGCCACCCACTGGGCGGGGAATCTTGAGTTCCAGGATATTTCCAAACTTGGAGCATTCCTCGCGGACATCCTCGCAGATTTCTAGTAACATAATTAGTATGGCCAAAGCCACATCGTAGAAAACAACAACGTACCTTCGTATTCTTCCGTGTCCATTAACTCTTCTGGGGTCACCATATTGAGGAGTTGAAGCACGCGTCCCTTCTCGGCATCGGTAGAAGTCTGAGAGGCGAGACCGCTGATGGCTGTGATACCAACATCGAAATTGGCAACCTGAGTGGGACCAATGCTAGCCTTTAAGACTTTCAGCTTCTTGCCCCCGACGTCCATGCCATTTAAGGCGTTCAGCGCGGGCTCGTTGGCAGAACCGGGCTCGAGATATTCCGCAAAGGCAATACCCTATCACATGTCAGTATACAGTGTTGATGCTTGGATGTCACTTAAGAAAACACTACCCTTGATTCTTCAGTGCTGCTGTCTTTTACGAGAACAAATGCCTTCGGCTTTCCAAATGCAGCGAGGAGTTCAATTATCTGATCCTCGGTAAGGAACGTCGGGATGTTCGTGATGGACAACTTGTGCACCGTGTCAGGTACGACATTTGATACGACATTGGGGTCGTAAGCCATTTCCTCGGGGATAGCTGGCATAACGTAGTCCTTGGGACGTCGAATTGATAAGCCCTGTTTCTCACCACCGTCTCCATTCATGGTGTCGTCTGCCTCCATATTTATGCCGTCCAAAGCAAGAGCCACGGTAGCATCACCAGCATTCCTGAATTCCAAGACTGCAAACGACCGGTCGGTTGAGAACTGGCAGAGGTTGCATGGATCCGAGCTCTCAATAACATTCAGGCCATTGAGCTGAAGGTTGAAAAAGGATAGAAGGTTCTCCTCGCTGTTTCCTTCGGGGATGTTGGAAACAATAAGACGCTTCGCTTGACGAGAGTTGCTTGCTTTCAGACCAGCACTCGAAACGCCACCATTTGGCTCTTTCATAAAAGCCTGGAGCTTTGTAGGGTCCATCGGCTGCTGTCGCGGGGCTCCGGGCAATGGGAACATACCCGACAGCTTTGCCTGTTCAGCCGTTACCAATTCGTACCCCGGTGGTTTAATATCCCATTGAGTCATCCTCCTCTTCCTTTCCAGAACCGGGGTAATGTCTGTCAAGTCCGGGGTGGGTTCTCGTGGCTTTGCAGGAGATGGGCTTCTGCGACTCTCTTGTCGTGCAAAACCATCATCTCGTCGATCTCCGCCCCGGCCACCACGGCGACGATCATCGACGCCTTCTCGGTCTCGCCTGTTGGGTCTATCGTCTTCATCGCGCCGGGCATCTCTGCGCGAGGAACCTCGATCTCGATCCCAGTCGCGCTCTCCCCTTCGATCGCGTCCAGAATATCTGTCCTCTCGTTCTCTGTCGCGGTGGTTGCGGCTGGAGGAATAGGCATCTACATCACCACCATCTCCACGACGATGCCCACCACGATGGTCTGGTGACCTTGATCGTCTGCGATCACGGTGACGGTCCCCCCGATCCCGGTCTCTCTCACGGTCGCGGTCACGATCCCGGTCTCTATGGCGGTCGCGGCGGTCTTCTCGATCTCCCCTAGAAGTCTGTACGGTGGTTAAATAAGGTAATTTGCGGTGGCTTGACAAACTTACAGGATAGTCCCGACCGCTTCGGCCCTCTGCTTTGACACGGCATGAGGTTAGCAATGCTCCCAAGTGTTCAGGTTGATCAAAGATTTCAGGGTACGAACCGCCACGTGACGAATAACTGTCCCCGTTCATAATTCGCGACAACAAGTCACAACCTCGGGCGATCAATAGGCCGCACGAATCTGATGATTCGGGTATGTAGTCGGCAGCGTCGAAGATCTCGCTACGACTTGGTGTTCGAGTTTCAACTGTTCAACTCGGGCGAGGCTGGAGCTTTTTCGCTGCGAGGGGCTAGCCTATTTTGGGCCTAGCTCAACTACTCAATGTGTGATTGTGGTGCCGGCAGAGCCCATGCAGCGGTTGATCCGCGGGTTCAATGCCAGGGTGCCAACCAAAAGTACCAAGGTACGTATCTTCAGACTTCAGGGTAAATCCATTCAATGACCTTCAGCCATTGCAGGTAAATCGAACCTCAGGACTGGGTGGTTGGTTACCATTTTATTCATTATTCATTCAGTCTCACCCTTCTTTTCTTTGTCTTTCATCTGGCAGCTACGTGATTTTGATTTCTATGATTACGCAGTAATGTGTATAAAACGAGCAACGGAGTGGCGGAAGTTGCCTATGAGCCTCTCAGAGCTCTGCATCGACACGACATTGAGATGTGGTCAGTCGTTTAGATGGCGCAAAATAAGTGATGAGTGGTTAGTATTGCAGTGACTTTACAAATGGCGTGGCTTCTCACTGTTTATCAAAGGACATGTACTCTCCAAGGCCGGATACTGTCTCTGAGGCAGGACCCTTCCCATCTCCATTACAGGGTTACCTGGCCGGAATATCAGGATGCTCTCCCGACGCCGCCATCACGCAGAGTCACAGATGAACTCAATCAAGACGACACGGAGGAGCTTGTTCGTCGATACTTTAGCTTGAACCTTGACCTTGGTGCTCTATACGATCAGTGGTCAAAATCGGACCCTAATTTTCAGAAGAAAGCCCCTGAGTTTAAGGGTGTGCGAATTCTTAGCCAGGATGCCTGGGAAGCGCTGATATGCTTCATATGCAGCAGTAACAACAACATCAGTCGCATTTCTCAAATGGTGAATCATACCAAGTTGACCCGAGGATGTTTGCGTTTCCTAACCTCTACAGGTCCATAAACTATGCAATCATTACGGGCCCCTCATCGGCTACATTGATGGAGAACCCATGCACGACTTTCCCACTCCCGAATCTCTTACTGGCAAAAATGTCGAATCACATCTACGAGAGCTAGGTTTCGGCTATCGTGCGAAATATATTGCGAATACGGCTCGCGTAGTTGCCCTCGAGAAACCATCCTCATGGCTTGAATCGCTCCGTAATCCTCGACACTCTGGGCCCAGACTCTCGTCAAGTGCGGGCAGTAGCAACCCAACATACAAGGGAGCCCACGAAGCACTGCTGTCATTAACTGGTGTCGGACCAAAGGTTGCTGACTGCGTATGTCTTATGGGCCTCGGTTGGGGTGAATCTGTTCCGGTGGACACACACGTGTGGCAGATAGCGCAGAGAGATTACAAATTCGGCAAGTCAAAAGCGAAGACGTTCAACAAAGCAATGTATGATGCAGTCGGGGACCATTTCCGGACCATTTGGGGTGACTATGCAGGATGGGCGCACTCGGTGTTGTTTACGGCTGATCTCAGAGAGTTTTCAAATCGCACAGGCAAGACTCAACCGGTGGAAGAGGTCGAACCGGTCCGGGTGAAATCTGAGATCCAGGAAGAAGTCATACTGAGTGGGCCAAGAAAGAGGCGATCGGCTGTTGATGCAAAAGCGAGAAGCAATACAGTGGTCGAAAATGTAGGAGAGCGCAAAAGTATCGAGACGATCTCCTTACATAAGCGCAGGAGGACGCGGGGGAGCTCCTAGAAGACGGGGAGGAAAACTGTACGTCCAGACAAATACGGGTAGCTCGGATACCATATAACACAAATGACGATTGACACGTAAAAACCGCCAATCATATCGAATGGTTATATCAATTATTTGCAAGAAACAGAGAGCCCAGCCCAAGTGTACCATTTCTGACATGGACAAGATTGTCCAGCTTCCACGGGTGCACACATGTGCCAAGAGTTCTGGATGGTCGGATAAACGTCGGCAGGGGCTTGCCGCTACAGCTCTCTGAGACTTTTCGCCGCCTCAGCTTGGGCTAGCTGGAAAGTCTCGTTCACCTTCAACCCCCAACCCCCATCGAGGCTGCCTATCCATGTGCAACGGGAACTCTGGAATTTCGTCTTGCGATCTGGAACCGGGATGAGGTGAATAAAAAAAGAAGAATTTGCTGAGTCAAGATGTCCGACGCAGATTTCGACACGATCGCGAAGCTCCAGCGCGAGCGAAACGCTGCGAAGAAAAGCTCGCGCGCGCTGGATGCGTCAACTCAGCGCAACGACGACAGGAGACAGAAGCTCACGGATAGCGCTGATAATGAGCTATATGAGCGTGATGGAGGCGACAAATTTGCAGGATACCACACGTCGCTGCCGATGGGGGATGAGGATGATGATATGGATGAAGACAATACCCGGCGGCTCGTGGGCCAATATACTGCATCGCGAGACATGATCGACGAGTTTGCCAGAGGAAATGGAGTGGAAGAAGATGATATTCTTGCGGGAAAAGGCGAGAAGAGCGGTCGAATTACTGACCGCGAAACCGACTACCAGAAACGTCGATTTAATCGAGTTTTGACGCCTACCAGAGCCGATCCTTTTGCAGAGAACCGACAGGCCGGAGCCGCCGAGAATGGGGCAACCTACAGAGAAATCATGGAAGCCCGCGAACTAGATAAAGAGGAGGAACGTGTTCGAAAGGCTATTCAGGACAAGCTCAATGGCGAAGACAACGAGGCCGAGGCCCAGCCGACGTTGCGAGACGTGGACAAGGAGAACGCCGAGGCCGGATCGACTGAGGCTGTTACGGCAGGACGAAAGCGAAAGAAGAGATGGGATGTATCCTCTGCACCAGCTGAGGAACAGCCTCAGGATAAGGCCGAGGAGGTGAAGCCAAAGCGTTCAAGATGGGACCAAGCACCATCCATCGGCGACGGAGAGACCACCAAAAAGCGCTCCCGATGGGACCAAGCCCCTTCAGCGACACCCATGGGTAACCAAGGACTTGCTACCCCGATGCATCCAACTCAAGCTCCCGGTGCCTTACCGCCGGCCTTTGGAAACGATATCTCTGCCCGTAATCTCCCCCTCAGCGATGAAGAGCTAGATATGCTACTGCCGGGTGAAAATGAAGGATATAAGATTTTGGAGCCACCTCCTGGGTATGAACCTGTTCGCGCCCCGGCACATAAGCTGATGGCAACGCCGGCTCCAGCGACAGGCTTCATGATGCAGGATCCGGATCAAGTGAGGCTAGGGGGCAGACCGGTGCCGGCTGAGCTCTCTGGTGTAGGTGATTTGCAGTTCCTCAAGCCAGAGGATATGGCGTACTTTGGCAAGCTCAACGACGGAGCAGACGAGAACGCCCTATCTGTGGAGGAGCTGAAGGAGCGCAAAATCATGCGGCTCCTGCTTAAAATCAAGAATGGAACCCCACCTATGCGAAAGACGGCCCTTCGGCAAATTACAGACAATGCGAGGAACTTTGGGGCCGGACCATTATTTGCTCAAATCCTACCACTTCTCATGGAGAAGTCTCTGGAGGACCAAGAACGCCATCTCTTGGTCAAGGTCATTGATCGAATTCTATACAAACTGGATGATTTAGTGCGGCCCTACGTTCACAGAATCCTTGTGGTTATTGAGCCGTTGCTCATTGACCAAGACTACTATGCCCGAGTCGAAGGTCGTGAGATTATCTCCAATGTGGCAAAAGCCGCTGGTTTGGCGACTATGATTAGCGTCATGCGGCCAGATATCGACCATCCTGACGAATATGTGCGTAACACAACCGCCAGAGCCTTCGCGGTTGTGGCGTCTGCTCTCACCATTCCAGCGTTGCTGCCCTTTTTGCGAGCCGTCTGCCGAAGCAAGAAATCATGGCACGCCAGACATACCGGTGTGAAGATTGTTCAGCAGATTGCCATTCTGATGGGCTGTGCTGTCCTGCCGCATCTCAAAGGTCTTGTTGAGTGCATTGCTCCCAACTTGAACGATGAGCAGACAAAGGTTAGGACCGTGACCAGTTTGGCCATTGCAGCTTTGGCAGAGGCATCCAACCCATACGGTATTGAGAGCTTCGACGATATTTTGAACCCTCTGTGGACTGGTGCGCGTAAACAGCGTGGCAAGGGGCTTGCTGGCTTTCTCAAGGCGGTTGGATACATTATTCCTCTCATGGACGAAGAGTATGCCAATTACTACACCAGTCAAATTATGGAGATTCTCTTGCGAGAATTTTCTTCCCCCGACGAGGAGATGAAGAAGGTTGTGCTCAAGGTCGTCTCCCAGTGCGCAGGCACGGAGGGTGTTACGGCGGGCTATCTCAAGGAACACGTGCTCGATGAGTTTTTCAAGAGTTTCTGGGTGAGGAGAATGGCCCTCGACAAGCGGAACTACAAGCAAGTTGTGGAGACGACGTTCGATATTGGACAAAAGGTTGGTGTCAGCGAGATCCTGGAAAGAATCGTCAGCAACCTAAAAGATGAGAGTGAGGCGTACCGCAAAATGACGGTGGAAACCACTGAGAAGCTTGTGGCTAGTCTTGGCGCCGCAGATATCGGCGAGCGGTTGGAGGAGAGGCTGGTGGACGGCATTCTGCATGCGTTCCAGGAACAGAGTGTCGAAGACGTCGTTATGCTCAACGGCTTCGGCTCTGTAGTCAACGCCCTGGGCACACGATGCAAGCCGTATCTGCCCCAGATTGTCGGCACGATTCGCTGGAGGCTGAACAACAAGTCTGCCACCGTGCGACAGCAGGCCGCCGATCTCATTTCGCGAATCGCCATGGTCATGCAGCAGTGCGGTGAAGACGCCCTCATGGGCGAGCTTGGCATCATCTTGTACGAGTACCTCGGCGAAGAGTACCCCGAAGTTCTTGGGTCCATCCTGGGCGCCCTGCGATCCATTGTGACGGTCGTAGGTATCAGCCAGATGCAGCCTCCTATCAAGGACTTGCTGCCTCGCCTCACGCCCATTCTTCGCAATCGTCACGAGAAGGTCCAGGAAAACACCATCGATCTTGTGGGACGTATTGCGGACCGCGGGCCCGAGAGCGTCAACGCCCGTGAATGGATGCGCATCTGCTTCGAGCTGCTGGACATGCTCAAGGCTCACAAGAAGGGTATCCGACGAGCCGCCAACAATACGTTTGGTTTCATCGCCAAGGCCATCGGCCCGCAGGACGTCCTCGCCACGCTCCTGAACAACCTCCGTGTCCAGGAGCGTCAGTCTCGAGTCAACACAGCCGTCGCCATTGGCATCGTCGCAGAGACGTGCGCACCCTTCACCGTGCTCCCAGCCCTGATGAACGAGTACCGGGTCCCCGAGCTCAATGTGCAAAACGGCGTGCTCAAATCACTCTCCTTTTTATTCGAGTACATTGGCGAAATGGCCAAGGACTACGTCTACGCCGTAACCCCTCTCCTAGAAGACGCCCTTATCGACCGGGACCAGGTCCACCGCCAAACAGCCGCATCTGTCGTCAAGCACATCGCCCTCGGCGTCATTGGGCTCGGCTGCGAAGACGCCATGGTCCATCTGCTGAACCTCCTCTTCCCCAACCTGTTTGAAACCAGCCCTCACGTCATCGACCGCATCGTCGAAGCCGTCGAAGCCATCAGGATGGCTGTCGGGCCGGGTGTCGTGCTCAACTACGTCTGGGCAGGCCTTTTCCACCCGGCCCGCAAAGTCCGCACCCCATACTGGCGCCTCTACAATGATGCCTATGTCCAGTGTGCTGATGCCATGGTCCCGTACTATCCAAACCTGGATGAGGAGAAGATTGACCGACCTGAATTGGCGATTGTATTGTGAGAAGAAGGGGGGGGGGAATTGGTCCTTTGCAAAGTTTTATTTTGTCTGGGGTAATTACGCTGGGGCATTTTGTAATGTTGTAGAGGAAAACGGATTGCGGGAGCATTTTAATGCACAACAGGCGTTTTTCTTACCCTTTTTTCTTTTTGCTATATAGCCAGAACTGTATTATTGATTGGACTTTGCCCGTGCCCGTCTGTGTTGCCCGCCGTTTGTGGCACGTCTTGTGAAGGACTGAGAGTACGTTGCATACTTATACCTTGGGCAGCTTCTGCTACAAATATTGTCAGCATCGGGTACCTCTGTCTCTGTCTCTCTCTCGCAGGGTGAACTCTTGGACATGCCCCTGATGTGTTTCCTAGGGATGGGAGTAACGGGCAATCAACGGTTCGTGCTTCTACGGCGGTGCCCGGTGCTCGTTTCAGTGTCAGGATGTGTTCATGCAGCACGAGGCTCATCAGGGCAGCTTTTGTACTCGGCCCCGGGTGAAGAAGCCAGAAAGGTACGTCGTTTCAATAACTTGGCTTTACGGTTTGGCCGTCCACTGCTCACGATTGTCGGCATGAAGGGATATAACTGCGTGAAGGGCATCGGCCAAAACTCGGTAATGCGAAAGAAGAAGTATACTTGGTCGAGGCATCTTTTGCCAGCCTTGCAATTTGATCTGTTCTCAACGGCTAGATATCAAGCGTCGACCATGTCACTCA